TTGGCATTCTCTTTAGCATGCACTTTACTTCCCCTAGCATGCCAGGAACACAGCAGAATCACTAACATAAATAAGGAAGATAAGAAATGTAAGCTTTGCCTAATAAAATAAATATCTTCAACAGCCACAAAAGACAACTTATTCGTTTAACAGAACCCGTGTCTTCTGACATGCAACAAGGTGTGACACAAAATGAAAGGTCATTGAAAATACTGTATACAGTCTGTGCAAACACTCTGCCTCACTGTGGTGCTCTTTACATGGACTTTCTCCTCAAACGAGAGAACTCACGGAAGCTGTGCCCAGGAGAGAGCGTGCTTCCTGGGGAAGAGAGTCCAGTGTTGTCCCTGGAGCCCGGTGAGCAGCCCTGGATTCTGTAGGACACTGAGTTATAATAAACAGAATTGAGATGGCAGCCGTGGTGTTCACCGTGGGACAAAAGAGGACTATCACAAATCCCCAAACGGTAGCACACACAGGAGCACAGGGAGCTGAGGCTCGACTCCGGCCTGTCTCTGCCTGCCTTGATCTGAAAACGCAGCTTGTGTCTGCAGGGGCTTCTTCTCTCCTGGTCCTCCGCTGGGGTAGCAATGAGGTTAGTGCGGCTGGTTCCTTCCTCCATCGGGAGGAAGAGCGTACTGTGGCTTCGACTTTGCACCGCGTTGCTCCTGTTCCTCTCTCTGTAGTTGCCTCTGCTCTGTTCTACAACATGAAGACTCAGAGAGCCATCTATAAGGCCTCTGTCCCTCTTCAGCGAGGCCCTCTCCTGAGCATCTCTCCGCTCATCCTCAGTGTTCATGGTGAGGAAGCGAAGCACCACCAAGTTCAGGAAGGCCCCGATGACAGTCAGCCCCACCAGGATGTACATGAAGCTGAATGCCACGTAAGGGGTTTTCTCCTGGAGGTCCTCCTTCTTCTGCAGGGCCACAAAGTCCCCAAAGCCAATGGTGGTGAGTGTGATGAAGCAGTAGTAGTAAGCGTGGAAGAAGCTCCATCTCTCAAAGTGTGAGAAGGCTGCAGCCCCAACACACAGTGTTCCAATGCAGGACAGGAAGCCCACCAGCACCATGTTCTCCATGGACACCTCGGTGCGGCGACAGCCCAGGCACTGCTTCACCTTATGGAGCAGATAGCGGACAAATGTGTTCATCCTTTCTCCCAGGCTCTGGAACATGACCAAAGTGAGAGGAATGCCCAGCACAGCGTAGAACATGCAGAAGACCTTCCCTGCATCTGTGCCTGGAGCTGCATGTCCATAACCTTAATGCAGAGAGGTGGAAATGAGAGGAATTGTTGTTGTATTAGCCTGCAATTTAAACAAACCTTTAATGTTGCATTTATGGAGAAACTATTTTAAATTCTCAACTGTAATAGCAAGAGATTAAATCAGTAACTCTCATCTCTAAAGACATACGAATTGCATCCACTTACCAATGGTGGTGATGACTGTAATGGCAAAGTAAAAAGAGCCAGCAAATTTCCACTGTCTCCCGGCTCGATGGGGCTCAGCTTGCAGCACCACCCGCTCGATTTCGTAGTAGTCGTCCTCGGAGAAGCGGTACTTCTTTTTCATCTCGTTGCGCTTCTGCTCCAAGATGCGTCTGCGGGAGCTCTCCGACTCGGACTCCAGAGCGTCAAACACCGCGGCGCCCACCAGCAGATAGGAGAACATGCAGAGGATGAGCGACAGGGTCCGGATGTTTTGCTTCTTCATCCTCGGTGTCGGCAGTAAAGTGGGGGTTAGACGGGCACAGTTACAGGTGGTACTGCTCCTCAGCGTGCACTTCACATCGGTGCTGAAAGCCTGTTGCGTAAAACGTAGTAGCAGGAGAGGCGTGCGGGAAAATAAAAAAACTACGAAATGTGTCTTACTAGGTTCAGATATTTATGGGAAAACGCGCATATAACCTGCTGTGCGCATTGAGAGCGATCGAAACCCTCAACACAGTCATCTGTTTAAGCAAGTGGCATCAGCTTTCTTCTTCGCATGCGCAAAGCAGGTCCAAATAAAAAAAGCTGTGTGTAATGTAATGTATGAATAAGACACATGGTAAGCTTTTGCACCAATGTTCAGTCTTATCACAGCTGTGTGCAACAAGTGAGGTCCCGACTCGACCCGGCAGATACCAATCCAACATGAGGAGGGGGGTTCAGCACCTCAAATACTAATGGCCAGGTTGGAAACCAAAATGTCTGTGTCTTATATTGTGTTTTCTTGCCCAAAATAACAAAGCACCAGAAATAATGACATAGTAAAACTGATGTTACTTGATTTATGAGTAAATTTAAAATGGTTAATTCTGGGTTAATACCAATTCTGAGCTCAAGGCATAAAGGAAAAGGCCATTTCAAGTAATGATGTCATCTTGTGTGAATTATAATCATTTCACATCTTAAAAAAGTAAGTAAATACAAATAATAAAGTATTAAAAGGTCATTGTTAGTAAAAAAAAAAAAAGCAAGTGAACAGTAAAGATATTAATTTTAGTGTGTGTGTGTGTGTGTGTGTGTGTGTGTGTGTGTGTGTGTGTGTGTGTGTGTGTGTGTGTGTGTGTGTGTGCGTGCGTGCGTGCGTGCGTGCGTGCGTGCGTGCGTGCGTGCGTGCGTGTCCATAACAAATGTTACCATAGTGTACCATAGTACGTACCATGGTATACCATTGTACTACCATGGTACTACCATGGTACCTCAGATGTTACCATAGTGTACCATACCAAGTACCAGAGTGTCAGAATACTCTGTTACAGTAAAAGTCCTGCATTCAAAATGTTCCTCAAGTAAAAGTAGAAAAGTATTATCATCAAAATATAGTTAAAGTAGCGACAGTAAAAGTAGTCATTCTGCAGATTGGTCCATTTCAGAATAATATATATGATATGTTTTTATAATGATTGATCATGAAAGTGTTGTCAAAGCTGGTAAAGGTGCAGCTAGTTTGAATGACTTTGTATACTGCAGGGTAGCTTGTGAATTTACTCCAGGTGGAACTAAAGTCTGATTTAACACTTGATTCTGCCAAGGCACACA